TCTGTGCTATGGTGGGGCCTGAAACCTGACTGAAATTCTTCATAGAGATCATTTTTTTGCAAGAAGGAGCACAACTGAGCAGATACAACTTTTCTAAAATTTTAGACATAAACCGAAGATTTGAAATGGGTCTGTAATTTGCCAGTTCACTTGGATCTAGTTGTGGTTTCTTAATAAGAGGTTTAATAACCGTTAGCTTGAATGGTTTTGGGACGTGACCTAAAGATAACGATGAGATAATAATATTGAGAAGCGGTTCTTCTGCTACAGGTAACAACTCTTGCAGTAATTTAGTGGGTACAGATGTAGTTAATATCAGTAATACGCAGCATGCACGATACAAGGAAATGGTCAGTAACATCATCACCTTGAGGTATGATATCTATATCAGCAGGGGTTAAATTGGGATTTGTTATGTGGGGGGGGGTCACAGTCTAGCACGAAAACTCATGGTGTGGGGCATAAAGCATTCTCATACATTATGGGCGACTCATGTCCCGGGAATAATGAATGCGGGGCAGATCTCCTGTCCAGGGGGAATGAACTCTCCACCCTCAGGTAGTGAACCAGTTGTGGGAGAGGTTCGGCCGCATCGATCTCTTCGCATCGCACAGAATGCAGCTCGAACGTGTCCTCGCCTGCACTCAAAGGTAGACACACAGCCGCCATTGAAGCAAGTAACAGTGAGTAAAACAATGGTAATGTATGTGAATAGAGTATTAGCAATGTAAGGAGATTAGCGGCAACCAAGCTGGCGATGCTAATGGGCTATAAGTTGATAGTGGACCCGGGATATATTCACACGTTATAGAAACGGAAATGATGGTGTATAAAATTGATTTTAAGATAAATAGACGATAAAGAATTAACGTGACGGAGCTCAAACTTAAAACACGCGGTAGCAACAAACAGGAAGGCTAAATAGGCTAAGACATGGGATTTTTTATTTTCAAACTGTTGTCTACAAGGTAGTGCTAGAGCTCTGTGGGGAAAAATTGAGAAAAACAAGTAAAAATAAATAAATGCTAAAAATGAGATCAAATTAAATAAATACATTTGATTAAAATAATAAATTAATAATAAAAATAAATAATACACCTAATGCTACAGTACTATATTGAGTACAAAAAAACATAATAATGTAATAAAAAAAATTCCCAAATAATATTTTACACATATTTATAATATTTAAAATTATTTTATTTCAGGGTGGGAGTTCCTTGCACAAGGATGATCATATTTGGGGATCTGTGGCATCAGAAAGATTAGAAAGACCTGAACTAAGATATTTTTAGTATTATTTTGCTGTAATTATGACAAAGCCCCTTGTTTTCAAACTTTTTTATTAACAGAAATTGGGAATATTGATATAATAAATTTATTAACCATGATTTATTTTGTAATTCCAGAAAGTAAAGAACTGTATGTTCTTCATTAAAATAAGTAGTTATTGAGGGGGGAGGAAAGAAATATAATTTCATTTACATCTAGATTTTTTTTTTAGCATTTTAATTTGCATCAGAGTTAGATTATTTAAGTGTATTAAAGGGGTCATATGATGCTAAAAATAACATTATTTTGTGTATTTGGTGTAATGAAATGTGTTTATGCGGTTTAAGGTTTAAAAACACATTATTTTCCACATACTGTACATTATTGTTTCTCCTCTATGCCCCGCCTTTCTGAAACGCATTGACTTTTACAAAGCTCATCGGTCTGAAAAGCGAGGTGTGCTTTGATTGGGCAGCTATCCAGTGCGTTATGATTGGCCGAATACATCAAGCATGTGACGGAAATGTTACGCCCCTTACCATACTGTGATGCCCTGTCCGGCCGGAGCAACGAGACAAAAACATTAAAACCCATTATTAACGAGGCATTTGTTGCATCCAGTGGGGCATAATTACGGATTATAATGACTTATACTGTCTTTTTATGCGTTGCGATGCATCGTGCCGCGTAAACATAAAACCATGTCTGCATTTGTGATCGAAAAATTGAAATCGCATCATATGACCCCTTTAATAATAATTTATTAATTGAAATACTTTGAAGTCATCCTGCGGCCCATAAGTTAGCTCTTAAAAATGAGCTCTACAATAATACAGGGAAATATTTAATCAGAATACACAGCTACATTTGAATGGCTGTCAGTGGAGAAAGATGCTTTTACGGGGTCATTGAGGTCAACCAGCAAAATTTTGACCCCTTGGTAGAAGCCATCAAAACAAACATGTAATGCCACCAATCAATCCTATACCTGCTGGAACATTTTTTTAATGCTTCTCTAATGTCTCTCATATATTTCATGCCAAACAGATCAGCCAGTTTGTATTGTGATCAACATTTTTGCACACAAAAGCAGTTTATTCAGCATACTGAGACATCACCTCTATCAATTTTAAACAGAAAACCCCCCATTTAAGCCCTTCTTGTCTTTGTCAGTCTGTTTACGTGAATGGAAAAGGGGTTGCGAGTGTGAGCGCGATGGAGCTGGTGAGCGCTAACGTTCGGGCCTGTACGTGTCGGCTGGACCTGTCCTGTGGTTGCTAATCTCTCCCAGTCATTCAGTAGCATTTCCCCCTCACTATGGTGCCGACTCCACCAGATAACACGGCTTCACCCTGAATGGAGGAAGCCCATGACAGAAAAAAGCGAACGATGTGTCTTGTGTTCCAGGCTTGAAAAAACCGCCCATGCCATTGCTTGCAGCCTCTTTCTGTGCATCTCCCTTTCCCTTTTGCACATTTTTTATAGAGTCCGGAAAACCAGAAGCCGCCTGCGTTGCACAATGAGGCTCCACTAGAAGCCAGGGGAGCAGAGCTATGTGGTCAACCATGAGAGATGGAAACAGATGGAGGAGAGGGGAGGGGCGCTATCTGAGATATCATCGCCAACCAGAGTTCATCTCACACAGAGACCCATATTCCACAGCGCTGAGGCCTTTTTCCAGACCGGCATGGAACAATGCACACAATAAAGCCAATCTGGTGGCTCAATGATGCAGGGATTATAGTTTGCGTGTGTGTTTGGGTGACACTGAATGTCATGTCTCTAACAGGTTGGTTAGAGTTATGATTTTGACTAGTAAGCAACCACTGAGAACTCTTTAGTAAACATATAACAACATCTTAATAACACTCAGAACACCTTAGAAACTGTAGAGCAAAACCATGGCAACCACAAACAACAGCCAAACATTCTCACATGGCAAAAAAAAAAAACCTGGCCAAAATATATTTTAAATGTATTATAATGCTCAATGAAATATTTGTAGTTTCTACCTTCATATGTGACCCTGGACCACAAAACCAGTCACAAGGGTCATTTTTAAAAAATGTAGATTCATACATCATCTGAAAGCTGAATAAATAGGCTTTTTTTTGTGTGTGGAAAATCTGGAATCTGAGGGTGCAAAAAAATCAAAATATTGAGAAAATCGCCTTTAAAGTTGTCCAAATGAAGTTCTTAGCAATGCATATTGCTAATCAAAAATTAAGTTTTGATATATTTACGGTAGGAAATTTACAAAATAATTTCATGGAACATGATCTTTACTTTATATCCTAATGATTTTTGGCATAAAAGAAAAATCGATAATTTTTACCCATACAATGTTTTTTTGGCTATTGCTAAAAATATACCCCAGCGACTTAAGACTGGTTTTGTGCTCCAGGGTCACATATACCAAAATATATTTCAAAATGTACTTTAAAAAATATACAAAAAAAGGTCAAATATAGAAAAAATATTTATGTACAGTAAGTATTATATGTTTTGGCCTTTTTCCATTTTGAAATATATATTTGAAAATATATTTTTTTGCTGTATGGAATTATTGGCTCAAAGACAAAAATAATCATTTAATGTAATAGAAAATTTCCATATGTATATATATACACACACACACATATATATAGGGAGCAACATATGATATAAATAAGAAAGTGGAACATCTATGAATTTGCCTGTGATTTGCAAAACTAAGCTATACTGTGTTTCAGACTGTTGAAGCCGATAAATCATACATGATAAAAAAATACTGTTGAAGAAATGTTACTCCCACAGTACAATCTGAACTAATTGGCACTGAAACAGCTCATATGATTTATGCATTTTGGCATCACTCATCCCCTATGATTTTCGAGCAGCACTTGACCTGCTCCGCCACTCTATGGAAAGTGCTGGATTTGCATATGTGCTGTCATGGCACATTGTAACTGTCACACTCCCACTACAAACTAATTCATGCAGGCTGCAGAGTTCACAATGAAGTGATAGAAAAACCACAAGCACAACGTCAAACGTCTGTTATGATGCAGTTACGTCGCCGTTTTGATATAAAGACTGTTTTGAATTCCAACTGTGTTCAAGCAAGTCTTCACGCTCCTCTTGTATCTTGTCAAGATTTACAGCAAAAAGAAAACGATGCTTTACATAAATCTTTATTTGTAAACTGCATTCTTTTTCCATACAACATTTTAAAAACAGCTTACAAATTCCACAAAGAAAAGTGTTAAAAAAGTTATAGAAAAGTGATTACAAACACAACAAAGTAAAGGCAGTCTATATATACACTATCATTTAAAGGTTTGGGGTCGGTTTTTGAAAGAAATCTCTTTTGCTCACCGAGGATGCATATATTTGATCAGAAATACAGTAAAAACTGTAATGATGTGAAATATGATTACTATTTAAAATAACTGTTTTCTATTTGAATATATTTTAAAATGTCATTTATTCCTGTGATCAAAGCTGAATTTTCAGCATCATTACTCCAGTCTTCAGTGTCACATGATCCTTCAGAAATCATTCTAATATGCTGACTTTCTGATCAAGAAACATTTCTGATTATTATTATTATTTTTGTAGACACTGATACTTTTTTCAGGATTCTTTGATAAATAGAAAGTTCAAAAGAACAGCGCTTATTTAAAATTGTGTAACATTATAAATGTCTTTACTGTCACTTTTGATAAATTTAATGCATTCTTGCTGAATAGAAGTATTAATTTCTTAAAAATATATATCTTACTGACCCCAAACCTTTGTCAAAACTTTCATGTAGTTTTCTAACTATGGACATGTTCCACTAATGCTTCACAAGCACAAAGTGTCATAATATTTTTCATCTTTCAAGCTTTTCAAATCTAACAAACTTGAAAAGTGTGTTTGTTCTGTCTTTCTTTTAAAATAAATGCACATGATTTGATGTTTTGACATTCAGATATCATGTGTGACTTAAGCATCCAAATATTTTTAGGGCAACGTGTTTTTTCATGCATCCATATCTGTTAAGTTTTCAAGTATGTTTTTACTGAGTATCTCAACACATGGCTGGGCAGTTGTGAGTGTTTTGTACAACTTTTTCCAGCTTTCCATGGTTCCTGTCACACCGTGCTGGGTAAGATGGCAGCTGGTGGGTGGTATGGGTAGGGCAGGCTGGCGTGGCTGTGGAAGGCAGCGGTGGGCGGCAGTGAATGGGAAGAGTGGCTGTAGACGCCCAGAGCTCCTGGACTCTGAGAATACAAGTCGAAATTCTGATCAGATGAAGGATTCTTTGAAAAATATAGATTCTCCTCTGTGGCGCTAAACTTCTTCCCTTTCCTGTTCTTGCTGGACCCCTTACGGTTGCGCGTCTGGATGCCTTCCTTCTTCATAGCAAGCGGTCTGTTCACCTGATGAGAGGGATTGAAGTATTAGACACAGAACTACAGTTAGAGCTGCTGTGTGCAATTTCTAGCCAAATGGAATTGCATAAATAATGATCATCTGGTTGAAATTCGCCAAAACTACTTTACAGTGTAGAGTAAGTCAGAAGTTGACTGAAAGTGTTGCAGAGGTTCAGGGAGGAAATGTCTATGAATTATTTGTTTTTGTTTTGCTTTGCTCACAATACACAGAACGAATTCATGCAAATCAGGTAACGGCACAAATGCATGCAACAATTTGGTGCTAGATGCAATTTGCATGCCGCAATTCCCTGAGTGACACAACTTTTACAGTGAATTCGACCGCAGATTTTTACATTCAAATTACACGCATCAGCTTTTACTCAATTAACCCAATACCATTTTTACATTTTAAAGGGGTCATATGATGCGATTTCAATTTTTCCTTTCTCTTTGAAGTGTTACAAGCTCTTGGTGCATAAAGAAGATCTGTAAAGTTGCAAAGACTAAAGTCTCAAATCCAAAGAGATATTCTTTATAAAAGTTAAGAGTCAGCCACGCCTACCTA